AAAGAGGCGAGAGAGAGAGAGGAGAGGGAAGAAGAGAGAACTGAAGAAGGAGAGATCTAGCAGACGGAGAAGGAAGAACGACCGACGAGTAACGAGAGGGGAGGACAGAGACGGGAGAGATGAGAAGAGAGAGATGAGAGGCGAGAGAGAAGAGAGGAGAGATGAGGAGGCTAAGAGAGGAGGAAGCAGAAAGGAGAGAGATGAGAGAGAGGGAGAGAGAGGAGCGACGAAGAGCAGGAGATAGAGAGAGAGAGATCTTGGGAGGAGAGAGAGAATGGGAAGGAGACGAGACAGAAGACACGAGAGAGATGATGAGGAGAATGGCTGCATGAGAGAGAGGAGAGAGATGACGATATGAGAGAGATACGAGAAGAGAGCGAGAGAAGACTGAGGAAATGGGACGACGAGAGAGAGAAAGAATGAAAAGAAAGAATATAGAAGAAGAGAGAAGAAATGACTTCTGTACTCCTGAGATCGAGAACGCAGACGTCAGATGAGATAGCTGACCTGATACGTAGATGACAACACGACCGCTTAATGCAATAGAGTGATCACTAGAGAAGATTGACGTACCCGCATGAGGAGAGAAAGGAGAGAGATGAGAGAAGCAGAACGACTTACAAGACGCAGAGAGCAGAGGGAGAGAGAGGAAAGAGAGGTACTGGAACCTGGAAGGATCCGAGGCACAAGAGAGAGAGAGAGGCCCGAACCATAGAACGCCAACATGCATTAAATCATGCATTATTATCAATGATTAGCTGTGAGTATCTGAAATAGGCAACAAGATGTGCTACTACAGCCAAGGGTCAACTTCTTCCCCATGGCTAGGTCATGTGATGGAGACTCGAGCCAGAGAGAAAGTTCTCTCCTGTGGACTGATGTTGCATACATAGTCTACACAGACAATTAGTATGTGGAGCATTTCCAGTGGTTTGTGATCAGACTCTGTGGGCGATATTGAATGAAGACACATGTAAATATATATTATATAATTATATTATATTATATATATAACTATCAATTATTTATATAATATAATATTAATATATTTAATATATTATAATTTAGACTAAATGATAACCCTTAACTACCTATATATTAAACTCAATAGTGGTGAAAAAGAAAAAAAAACAAGTCATTGGACTTTCATATCTTCTATATAATCTATATAGACTTTAAGAACGGTCATAACTTGTCTATAACTTCATTCAATGCACCACAGACATCTGACTGTAAACAGTTGTCGATCTAATACGTCTATATGACTGGACAAATTTCACTTAGCTCAAACATATCACTACTTATCTTGACCAAAAAACTTAAACACACATTCTCCACCACTGCTTACATAGTGTGCTATTATAAAAACAGCATAATAATACATGGGAGAAACAGCTCGACCCTTATACAATGTCTTTTGTATATTTGGAAGTTGTGGTACCTTATGAACAGAAGCATGGCACATTTGTATGATACCTCTGCCGTGTCTAGTCGAGTGTGTATGTCCCTGTTCCGCCGCCGCGTGGCGTGTGCTGTGTGGTGTGTGTGTGTTCCACTCAGGTGTGTGTGTGCTGGGGCAATATGTCCTATATGTATATATTGTGTGCGTGTCTTTAAACATAATGTGTGTGTGTGTGTGTGTGTGTGTGTGTGGGTGTGTGTACTTTATAATTATAATATAATCATATATATATATTATATAATATATATATATAATATATATTATATATATATGCCAAATATATAATATATATAATGGTATGTATGTATTAAGTATATAAATATAAATTAAATAAATAACATATACTATATACTATATATATATATATTATATAATGCACAATAATATATGTATATAAGTATATGTATGTAGCTATATATAAATATTTATTAATTACATATAATATATATATTAATTAAATTATGTATATATTTGTATATATTATATATATTATATATATATTTATATATAATATAATATATATTATATAATATTATAATATTTATATATACCATACATTAATTACCATATAGATACAGATATATTGATGCACTATATTAGTAATAATATATATATATATATATATATATATACGTATACATTCACTACTGACACTTACTCTATATACACACCGCCCGATATCATAGCTGTAAAATAACAATCAAACCACTACTCCTTCATGCATATAGTTTCATATAGATATATAATGTATAGCCCATAATATAGGTATAATATTCATATACGCTATAGTATATATATCTACTAATACAACTATATAATAAATATATATATACTAATATAGATTAAATATAAAGTAATACACCGCTACAGACTTACTACTACCCATACAAACCCACATTTGATCTCTCGTGACCTACTAATCGCTACTCACCGCTACCTAGTACAAATCAATTCTCAATAGTACCTGCTTCAACCAGTCCTGACTAACCTACTTAGCTAATATAACTGACATTAATATACGCTATATTAATAACTATCATTACCCATATATACTCGATCTATCACACAGTCTACCATCATATATACTAAACCCGCAGCTGTTCTACATAAGTTATATAAATACCGTATATAGCCCAATCACCTATCCTATATCTAAACCTACTACTACCGACTCCAACATGTGCCTATATTATAAGCATATACGAACTATCCTTCTGCACCCTATAACTGTATACAAACAAGTACTACATACTACTATTATATATTATTATTATTATAATATATATATATATATATAATTCAAACCCTATCTCACTACCAATCTATACCCTATACCATAACCTACATCTAATTATGTATACTAACACATATCATATATATCTACATTCACTAATATCATACTATATATATATCAAATACAACTACTCTATTGAACGACAACCTATAATTTAATATAGGTCTACTAGGATCACGACTTATCTCACATATAACACATCATCTGTAGACATAATAATATTACTTAGACTTAGATAGGTGACTATATCACTTCATGTCTGACTCGTCTTGTAACCAATCCTAAATATTATTATACTATATATAATACTAATTACTATATATAAAATCAATATGTATAATCGATATAAGCATATAATACAGTATAAGTATCAATACTATACATACCTATCTATACGCGAAATACACCTATCGCGCCAGTATACGCATCAACGTCTTCATATCACTAACAGACACTCTACTAATATAACACACCGCCGCACTCGCTACAAAACCCCTCAATCACCTACAATACATACCGATCTCCAATGACATATCATATTAACTTATACAGATATACAATACTACCATCACCCAAATACTACATTATATTACATAAGAACGAACAGCCTACCCTACAATATATCGTAACACTCCACTCCACCTATAATACTTAAATATACACAGTACCACATATAAACACTAAATATAGCCACGTAGAAGATATGTATCGATATAGTGTGTCGTCCTTATTAATAACAACATTACTATAACTAATACCATATACTATACTGGCGCGATAATTCACGCACTAAGATATACCTATAGTCACTATCACAAATATAATCATCATCTATATAGCAATACTATGTATCATGACTTACTGATTATGTATGCTTCTATACATCTCATTGAGCCTACCTCACGCTGATTACATCATACTACCTCCATAACGTTATATATATGCATAACATGCCTACACAGCGTGTGATGTGGGTGTATCTATATACATATACGCACCCGTCATGATCAATAATTCATATACAGCACCTTAACTAGCGACTTATGACGTTCCAGCTCCACTGGCTCTCATGCAACAATCTAAAACCCAGTAATAACAACTTCTATACTGTAACATTACGCACTGATGCGCTAATACTGCGAAACTACGAAACTATTCTCACTCAACGTCAAGTCACTCCTATACTCAAGGACTATGCAAAGACCGTAGCCTCTGACTCTACGAAAGAGATTCTACACATAATCTACGAACATATAGCCATTAGACTCACTAACTAACCATAACTTAATATAATAACTCCACTCTAATACTCATAAACCACCCATACATATATAGTATGAATATATATATTCGAGATATATACGTATGATAACAGTATAATATCTATATAACTGCCACTACAACACCCTTACCTCATAGATCCTCTATTATAAACATCAGCGTATACTGTCCAGGCCGCTTGAAAGCACTACCCTAACTCAACTAAATTAAGAAATTCACACGTATATGCTAATTATGCAAGTCCTCATACACCACCCACCATAATGCCCATATACTAACACACCACATACAACACACACAGATTATAAAACAACTCATCATCCGCGCACTCGACAACATATAACTGCGTCCTTATACTATAACTATATAAGGATACTATCTCATCCTATCCACGCATGTAATACATACATACTATTCATATTATTGTATACTCGAATTATGCCTACAAACACCTATCGCTATAATTACAAATTATTCTACTATACTATAATTAACTCCTAACTAATTAATAAGTTATACTAACACCAACGTCACCCACCACACCCACGCTAATACAGCTATATCTAGTGACCTCTATACAAAACTATATATAATAACATATTAATATATCACCTCAATC